CGCAACAAATGTTAAGGCTTTTCAGTACGAAAGTACTAATACATTTAAATTCAAACATTTGGATAATAAAACTATTCAGTTCCAGTTGTTTTTATCTCTATTTCTCAAAGGTAGAGTGTTAGAGAAAGGCTACACTCATAAATACGGGCATTATTTATTTATTTTTCATAATAAAAAATGTTCTTTTGAAGTGTAAAAATAAACTCTTTGAAAATGATAAGGCAGTTTTATAGGAATAACTTTGCAAGCTTTTTTTAAAGCCCATTCCAAAGCGCCCATTAAATCTTCATGTATAGGAGATAAGCTTTCAGTGTTAGACTTAATCACCTTTGAGTCAGATAAACTCTGCATTCTGAAGGACCAGAGAGAGGCAGTTTTTTTGTATTCTCAATTTGCCATTTTCCCCCTGTTATCTAAGTTAAAAATAATAGATAGTAGATTGCCCTTCAGCCAAGATCTATTTTTATAACTACTGAACAGATTGTCCTTCCTTAATGACTAAAGGTCTTAAGCATAAGCAATGTGCTTTATAGGAAAGTGTAGCATCTTTACCGAACAGCTGAAAATTTCAGATATTTTAATGTTTTTCATTATTTATGTCTCGTTTTAAAGATTTGTTGTATTGTTTCAAACAAATGTAATAAATTTTTTTTTTTTTTTATATTTAATAAAAAAATCAGGTTAGTTGTTGTGCACACACCAGTTGTATATACACAATATAACATGTATATTGTGCATCTGTTTTGTTCCAAAAAGAATGTGAAACAGCTTTGTGAAAACATAGCATCATGCAAAAATGATTAAAGAGTAAATCAACAAATTTAATAGAATGTAAAGATAACTGAAAATATTTGTGTTAGAGTTGAATTGTATATCACCTTGCTATTTTACTGCCATTAATAGTATAGTGCAGGTTTATGCTTGTATGTTCATATATTGATTTCTTGAAATTAACTAACGTAAGCGTAGAGCTTTCTAGAGTCCACATAAAGGAAACCAAGGGTAGTCCAGCTAATAATCTGCTACTCGAGTTAATGGAGGATCACAAGAACGATAGTTCATCAACAGATTCTCTGCAATGGGTTGACTGTATAGATTCTGTTTAGGGATCTCACATTCTTCATCTGGCCTTCAACTCGCAGAATTGTTTAAATTAAATAGATGAGTAAATAACCAAGGGGGAAATACTCCAGCAATACCTGGGGGGTATTGTTTGAGATATATGGTAGGACATTAGCATTGAGAAAGGGCTGCTGCTTGAAATGTTTTCTGCATTAACTTTGTCCTCAAATAAATTGTGGTAGCACCTGGGTGTGCACACCTATACTGGATGCGCAGGACTCATGTTTGATTTTGGGTGAGATATATGGTATGTAGTGAACATATATAATCACAAAGTGACATGACTGTCTACAAAGGGTTGGTTTACTAAAGGACTTCTTTAATTAAAAAAACCTCCCCAAAAAAATCATTTCAGGTGTTTGATAAAAAATCTCAATACTAGCTATGGGTAACTAAAGGGTCACATATATCAGAGTATATTGCTGTCACATCACTAGTTGGAGCCCAGATTTCACTATCACACAGAATCGGACGACAATTGGCACCATTGGACGACAACTGGCACCATCTTTTTAATATTACAGTTTGTCTGGAGACTCCTTCCTGCTACGGTTAAAAGAGCAAGTTGTTACAATTTCGGCTTTATCTACTAACTGCTCTGATCAACGCAATATAATTCCAGCCTCCTGCATACGACCTGGGTGAGATCCATCCATTTTTTCAATAGATTGGCAATTTTTCCTATTTTGAGAGACTGTTATATCTATTTTGTATTTATCTTTAAATATTTAATTTTTCATTTTTTTTCATTTTTTTTTTTAGTTTTTTGCTCACTTTTTTTTTAAATAGCTGGAACACTATATACCATTTTGTCTGATCAGACTGCCAAACATTAACCATCCTTATCATTTGAGCGGAGTCCAGCGATCATACAGCACATCTATACTTGGTGGATCCACCGGACTGATTTTGTATCAATCAGATCATTGTAGATATGTATATAGGAGATGTGTACAATAGATTAATTGTGTCAGGATCATACAGTATATCAAATGTCAATGTATTTTTTTGGGTTCTTGCACCATTCTGTATAGCTATTAATTCTTTTCATTTGGCTTTGGTGCTTCCTCACAGTTTTTCTAAAAATATACACTGAATAAATGTTATACATTTCAGAATATAAATAATCTTGTTCTTTATTAGGGGCACCTAGCACGTCCTGCGTATCAGAACCCCTCGGCCCAGTATACTTACCTACCGCAGCAATCCTGATTTTGGGGGACTGATTGACAACCTAGAAAGTCATCCTGTGGTAGATCTTGCCCATCCAGGCCATGGTAGAGCAATAGAGATGGAAATTCCAAGTTTCAGTGAGTATGTGAAAGTTTGCTAGGTGAGCTAAATATAAAGTTTCTCTATTTTTCCGTTATATCGTTAGGTGGGTGGAAGCCCCTGAAAGTTTGGTAGGTGAGGAGAAAATTATGTTTTTCTTTATTTTCTGTAGATGGAAGCCCTAGTTACATAGTAATCTAGGTTGAAAAAAGACTCAAGTTCATCACTTCCAACCTTATAACACATAACACCAGACTGGAAAGAGAACCGATGAGAGATAGCTAGAGTACCCTAAAAAAAGCTTACGGGGGAAGATTGACACTTTACACAGCAAACAATATAACTAAATTAGTAGAGTGCATTTAGACATATGTCTTTAATTCAGTCTACAACTAATTATATAAACGAACTATTACGCACATCAAATCCTATGAATATTTTTTTATCATGCAATGGGATGAAGGGTGAATCACTTAAAATAAAGGTAAACAACACAGTATGTCTAACTGAAGTGTAGATTGCCTAAGTACACAGTGTTCTTATTCAATTCAAAGATCACTTTCTGTAATGAAGTTCTGTAAAAGTGTCATGCACATTTTTATTAAATGATTGTTCTAAAATGAGTATTCCAATTTGCTTCAAAGAAACATGGAATAAGAGAACTCTTAGAATAATTTTGTACAAAGTAAGGTAGATTAAGAGGTTCTCATTAAGTAGTTAGCCCTTAGAATCAGAGCCCATTTTACATGCCAGTTTGATTGCTTTGAAAAAAAAGTGTACGCTTGACAAGGAAGATTGTATTTGTCATATCCATATCACCATTTAATCTGCAGTTTTACCATTTGAAATATAATTTGAAATCTTCTACTTTCCTCTCGCAAAATAATTAAAAATAAACTTTCTAAAAAAAATGCATGGGTTTTGGTAATCAGTGCATTTAATGCTAAACTGTTTTGAGTGTTTACAACAAACTGACCAGTGGCTTGTAATATAAATATATTGGTTTGGGGAGGTTTATTTAATATCCTTGTTATTTGTACTATTTGTCCCATTACATTTCTTGATACATTATTCAATTATTTCATTATATAAATAAGAAGAGGGAAAGCCTATACCAGAAACATCTATTGACAAATTACTCATAAGGCTAAATATAAGATCACACATGCATGTACATAACATCTCATTCATTTACAAAAAATGAATGGAAATCAATGGGAGCAGGGCAGCAGGGCAGCAGGGCAGCAGGGCAGCAGGGAACAGTTTTCCTTAAATTTCATAAATATTGTGCAAATTCTGTGTTATGCATGAATTAAATTATATGCGACCTTAGTAAAACGCATCATGAATTTTTTAATGCTCAGTAATTATCAAACTGAATACAATAGAGGCTGGGGAAAGGCTGAGACATTTCCGACAGTTTCCGGTTGAAAATGAGTTGCGGCAGATCACTCGGAAGACAAGCAAAACCACCAGTTACATTTAAACCATTTAAGCATTCATTACAAATTAAGTGTGTGTTTTAAGAATGAGTGAAAAGGACACCTTGAGTTCCCAAGGAAACAACTTTCTTACTTTTGAATGTTCTTTACAGGTATATAGAATAAAAAGACTGGTTAAGGGGGTGGAGTTTAGCGTGCGAGCTAAAAGGACTCAACTCAGAGGAGTTACTGCTCTAACTCCGATTTCTTTAACCTGGTTGTGATACTTTGACGCCAACATGCTCAGTATCACTCCCACATGCAGTGGGTACTTGCCTAATTCCTTTTTTCCCCCATTCCGACGGACACACCGGTACGTGACAATCTGGGGCCTTTCTTGCCTTCCATCTGGCCAGAGTTACACAACCAGCTCCCGGATTGTCTCCCGAGTATCTATTCTCCTTCCTGCCTGAAAGTACTTATCAGGAACTAATCCAACACACAATAGAAACATAGAAACATAAAATGTGACGGCAGATAAGAACCATTCGGCCCAATTTTCTAAATACTTTCATTAGTCCCTGACTTATCTTAAGTCTAGGATAGCCCATGCCTATACCACACATGTTTAAACTCCCTCACTGTGTTAACCTCTACCACTTCAGCTGGACGGCTATTCCATGCATCCACTACCCTCTCAGTAAAGTAATACTTCCTGATATTATTTTTAAACCTTTGCTCCTCTAATTTAAGACTATGTCCTCTAGTTGTGGTAGTTTTTCTTCTTTTAAATATGGTCTCCTCCTTTACTGTGTTGATTCCCTTTACGTATTGAAATGGTTCTATCATATCCCCCTGTCTCATCTTTCCTCCAAGTTAGACATATTGAGATCCTTTAACCTTTCCTGGTAAGTTTTATCCTGCAATCCATGAACCAGTTTAGTAGCCCTTCTCTGAACTCTTTCCAAAGTATCAATATCCTTCTGAAGATACGGTCTTCAGTACTGCGTACAATACTCCAAGTGAGGCGAAGATAACCAAAAGCAGCAAGCAGTCACATCTAAAAGTACACACGATATTGGTATCATGTTCTATTGCTATGCTACTCCCAAGATGGCTGTCTAGGCAGAGTAGGAGGCTAACTCCTTCAGTTCTGAGAATAACTTGGAGGACCAAGCTGTAGTCATGCAGACCCCAGTGCTCAAACCAACAGTACTAGCAGAGGGTGATACCCAAACACAAGCCACAAAACAGGATATCCATAATTTACTACAGCATATTGAAAAGTTTCTTGTAGCCAATCTGGAGATGGTCAAATTTGATATTTATGTGATGACAACTAGACTACAGGCACATGAGGAAGACATTATACACTTACGCCAAGAGCTGTCCACTACCAGAGAATCACTGCAACAGGTCCCAGACTACATCCTAAACTACCTTTACCCAGGTGGTGGACTGATGGGAAAACATTACAATATGAGGCATACTGAACTCCATCAACACACAGATGAACTTCCTCAGACACCTCACCACTTCTCTTTTGCCATCTACACAGGCAAAAAAAAGTGTTCGATGGGTTTTATTGCATAATCAAATCCCCCAGAGCTCCTTCAGCTGCCTCCCGCAGTGTTATTGTTCGGTGCTAATCACCTTCTAATAAAAGCCACATCATGACAGCTCTACAAGACAGCACACCGTATGCCTTAGAATCTACATGAGTTACATTTTTCAGAGATTTGCTTAGGTCAACTCTACAGTGGAGGAGATCGTTGTTCCCAATCACTCACCAACTCCATGAAGCATGGGTGGAATACTGATGGTCAACACCGAGGTTCTTGACTGTAGCTAGGACTGTCATTATTCTACGAATGTCATCTCCTTTTGAATCCAAAGTCTTCCTCCTGCCATTGGACCTCACTGCCAGACCTCAGAAATCATCAGTCTATGCTAGTCCACACCAGTGGGATCCCAGGATGGTAACTACCTTTGTCCCAAGAGGAGGAGAGGGTTTGACTCCAGTCATTTAAGCCGCTGTCTGTTTGATCTATTCTATCATTTTATTACATTCTGTTTAATATTTCTTGATCTTATCTATTTTTCAGTAGATGATAACCAAGCTACTTTAGTATCTATTATACAATGATTATAAATATATAAGGTGCCTTACGTCATCTTGGCAGCATATTGAGCTCTAACATCTTCTATCTTCCCCCCCTCCCCCAAGACCCCTCTTTTTTTTATCCCAGTTAAGTCACTTAATTGTAGGCATAGGTACATCCCTAGACGAGTTGATGAGTTGATGTTCACTATTTAAGAAATCCTCCTATGTAACACTAACTTGCTAATTGCAATGGGACTCACTGTTCTATCAGTATTACCTGAGTTTTACTTATTCATAATTTAGATTAATGCCCACTCAGTGCAATTCAGGATCGTCTTTTAATTTTGTTGATGTATTAAATAGATCTCTGATGTATTCAATACATCAACAAAAAAATAAAAATAAATAGTATTTCTGATTCAGCCCACATGGCTCCATCTTGCAATCACATTATATGATATTGTACATAATATACCATAATATGATTATTTGTGACAAGTTGATGTCTGGATATGTCACTTCCATGCTTATAGTGTCTGTTACATGTATACCTCAATAACACACTGATTGACAAAAAAACAAAACATAAAAAAATGGTGAAATAGTATGCTTCAGATCTACCCTTTCCCCATTTGATACAATCTTTTGCAGAAAAATAATAATATTTCTTTAATACTATTTTGGTTTTTGATTGCTGAAGATATACCATTGTCTTTGGTTTGTGGAACCAGAGACTTTGGTAAACTGAAAACTATTTTTTTAATTTTTAAGGTAAAATAAAATAAATTATTCTCTAGTATTCGTACTTTACCATTTTGACTATTTGACCCTCTTTTCAATTTGGTATTCAGTTCAATCCACTGTTTAGTAAATAAACCGCAGTTAGAATTTGTATTCAGGTGTTTAATAATGACAAGAAAACATATGATTTTCTCTAATTTCTTTAATAAACTTCTCATTAACTATTAGTAAGACATAACTGAAAATAAAGACTTGTTTAAAGTAGAATTGTCACGTCCAATGTTTTATATTATGTTTTAATTTAGCTTACCTCTTTATCCTGCAACTGGGCACCTCCATCTTCGTCCTTTGTCAATCATGATGATAAGTTCTGTCCTTGCAAGTGGCAGTAAGCACTGAGAAAATAATAAATAAAGCAATGTTTCTATTTCTTCTCATTTGCATCATGTGCCCTGATTGTGCCTAGACTGAACTGGATCATGACATAACGTGGTAAATATTTAAAGTAATTTGAAAGAAAGTAGGGTATCATATACATCATATTTAATAGATTATATTTCAGTGTTTTATTCAATAGTATAAGTTCCAGGGAAGTGATGGACTTCTTTAAGTTCAAAATAATTAATGAAAACAAAATCATTTTTAAATTTTCCAGAAAAAATGTCGTTGCTGTTTTCCTCATGTGTGTTTGTGTATATTGTGCTCATTTGAAGTTGCAAAAGATAAAAAGACTAATTATTACCTTGTTACAAGAACAATGTTTAAATTAGTTTAAATTAAAAAATGGCTAAAAGGGAATTTCCTGTTCTTAGTTTAGAAACATAATTAAGCTGAACTCATATGTACTGTGTTTTATTTATCATTTGGAGCCAACAAAAACAAGCATTCAATGTTTCATTTCAGAACTCTCACATTCATTTAAAATATATTCTGGCGAGTCACATATTGTTTCACATAATTTTTGGTAGAAAGAGTGTTACATGTTCTGTAATGGGAGATTCCTGGGATTGTGACAGAAACAAGCATCAGACTGCAATATTCTTGCAAATACATGTTACGATCTAAAATTAACTTTCACTCTTTTTATGAAATCCTTTGAAGATTTCCATCTACCTCATTATTTACTGACTTCTATAATGAGATTTTTTTTTTCTCTAAAAGAGTTGCTCTTCACCATCTTTAAACTTTTTACTGCCAAGTTTTTTTTAATTAAAAAATATACAATAAGTATTGGAAAATTGATACAGAGCTGATTCTTAACACTGAAAGTTCATAATAGTTTGATGTTCAGGGATATAACATTAAAATTCTAAACAAAAGTTAGCATATGTACATTTTTTAATTCTTTAAACTTCAGATTGCTTTGGAAAAAAATAACAGTCAATAATCTACTCATATTTCATAATGAAATAAAGGAGCTTGGGGCAGATGTTCCATTACCGGTGCTGATAAGGCCAAGATACCTTACAATGAGAAGCAGATTTACAGGACGTGCAATATGGGGGTTCCTGGGAAGACATGTTGGAGACTGATTCACTCATATCTCTTTCTGTGTCTCTTTGATAACAAATGTTCAAACATTGTTTAGGTGGCACACTACCTCAGTTAAGCTTTTAAGGTTGGAAAGATCCTGAAGGATTAATTCTACAGTGTTGCAGAATATTTTGGGGATTTATAAATGTCAGCAACATAGTTAAAATTATACAATAATAATAATAACTGATCTCTGCTGGAACTGCTCCTAGATGATCACCAGGTCTCTACTGCCATGGACTTATATCCAGATCATACCATATCACAAGTACTTGGGGACACGCAGTGAGCGACCATACGTCCGTTCAGAAAATGCCCCCTGTTTATTAAACAGTACAAAGCAAATTCAATGAAGGGGATGTCTAGGGGGAGTTTCATTGATTACCAATCAAATGTTAACAGCTATTACCTAACAGCATGGAAAGTTCGTGCCAACAGCATGAAATGGACATATAACCTTCCAATGATCTAAAACTTATCCAGTGGGCATGTGGTAGATGGGGACTTCCAAGGGAGGGACGGGGGAATAAAGATGGCCATGTGCAAAGAAAGAAACTATGTGACGAGCTTGCAATGTACAAGGTTGTTATTCTTGTGATTTATCTTAACATAAATTATCCCTTTCAATCTCTGTTGGAGGATTGGGCAATCCACGTCTTTGTGAGTATTTTGGAATTACTTAACATGTGGAATCTTATGTACAACAAATTGCAAGCACATTAAATACAATTGTTGGCAAGTATATATGCACTTAGTTGTGTATTTTCTTTTATTCAAAACTGACAGACTTCAGTGGCAGCTGGTGAAGTTTAAAAATAGTGGGGTGCTATCCCCCTGTCTTGTTTGCCTCTACCCACTTAACCCATGAGATGCATGCCATGATCAAAACCAGCTCCATCACCAGTCATCAATAAATGAAAACTGCAGGTATAATTAGGGTTACTATATCCACCATGTTCTCAGGGACACATATAATTTTATTATATTTTTGAAAATGCATTAACAGGGTTTCTTTGCAGTATGTATAATGCATATTCTGCTGGATGATAATGTGATTTTGTTGCGATTATGTCATAAGTGGGCATAGCTTAATGATATCATAAAAGGGGCAGGCTACAGTGTCTGGCATGGAAATCCTAGCAACACTGTCTCAGGGAGTGAAACTGATTTGTTGACTACTTGGGGAGATAAGGGCACAAAGCTATGCACGTTGGGGTTAAGAATGCACAAGCAACTTACACACCAAATGGTAGTGAATTAAGGATAACCACACACGAGAAGGATTTGGGAATTGTTATAGACAGCAAATTAGGCAGCAATATGCAATGTCAATCTGCAGTTGCTAAGGCCAGTAAGGTTTTGTCATGTATAAATAGGGGCATAAATTCTCGAGATGAAAATATAAGTTTGCCTCTTTATAAATCGCTGGTAAGACCACACCTTGAATATGCTGTGCAATTTTGGGCACCTGTTCTAAAGAAAGATATCATGGCACTAGAAAAAGTGCAGAGACAAGTTACAAAATTGATAAAAGGAATGGAGCATTTTAGTTATGAAGAAAGGTTAAAACATTTAAATCTGTTTAGTTTGGAAAAACGGGGCCTGAGATGGGATATGATAACTTTATACAAATATATTCGGGGCCAGTACAAACCTTTATCTGGAAATTTATTCATAAACAGGGCTATACATAGGACACGAGGTCACACATTTAGGCTGGAAGAAAGGAGATTTCATCTAAGGCAAAGAAAAGGTTTTTTTTACAGTAAGAGCAGTAAGGATATGGAATTCTCTGCCTGAAGAGGTGGTTTTGTCATAGTCACTACAGATGTTTAAACTGCAATTGGATAAATACTTCCAAAAACAAAACATATAGGGATATAATTTCTAATTAGTGGGGTAATAGCTGCTTGATCCAAGGAGACATCTGACTGCTATTTTGGGGTCAAGAAGGAATTTTTTTCCTAGTTTGTGGCAAAATTGGAAGCGCTTCAGACTAGGTTTTTTTGCCTTCTTTTGGATCAACAGCAACAACAAATGTGAGGAAGGCTGAACTTGATGGACGCAAGTCTCTTTTCAGCTATGTAACTATGTAACTATGATTAATGGAACTGCTGCTACAGAACACACATTTAATTTGCCCCAAACTGTTACTGGATAGTTTTTTTTCCCTCTATTGTACACGATCAGACCCCAAAGATGAGAATAAGAGCTA